GTCAGCAGCAGCAGCAGCAGCAGCAGCAGCAGCATTTGCTGCTGCTGCTGCTGTTGATGCAGGCAAACCGCTGCTGGATTCCCACGGAGTACTGCTGTCAGCAGTGTTGCTGCTGCTGCTACTACTACTACTATTACTACTACTACTACTACTGCTGCTGCTGCTGCTGCTGTCCCGGCTCGCAGCCGCCGGCACGCGCCATCCTGCAGCAGCAGCCGCAGCTGCTGCTACTGCTGGGTCGCTTGCTGCTGCTGCTGCTGCTGTTGCTGTTGCTGCTGCTGCTGTTGCTGCTGCGACACCCGAATACGCCGCATCTGTCATTTGTATGCCAAGGCCCTGCTGCTGCTGGTTGAGGCCCCACAAGGAAGCCTGCTGCAGCAGCAACGGCTGCTGCTGCTGCTGCTGCTGTTGCTGCTGCTGCTGAGCGCCCATGACCAGCTGCTGTTGTTGCTGCTGCCACAGCTGCTGCTGCTGCTGCAACGGAGATAATATCAGCTGCTGCTGCTGCTGCTGCTGCTGCTGGTGATGCCAAAGTTGCTGCTGCAGCAGGTGCTGCTCTTTCTCAGCTGCAGCTCCGCGCGCAACCGCTTGCAGCGTTGCTGCTGCTTTAGCGGGTGTTTTGTGTTGCTGCTGCTTCTGCTGCTGCTTCTGCTGCTGCTTCTGCTGCTGCTGCTGCTGCTTCAGCTGCTGCTGCTGCCGCTTCTCCTGTTCATATTGAGAAGGGTTAAGGGTTTCTCTAAACTCCAGAGCCAGTTGGCGAGCTGCTACCATCCCGTGCCTCGCGCAGCTGCAGCAGCAGCAACAGCAGCAGCAGCAACAGCAGCAACACAAGGAATTATTAACGATGCATGCAATCTCATAAATGACGCACCATGGGAAGAGACAGCAACGGCAGCAGCTGCAGCAGCAACAGCCATATCGAGAACGCAGCAACACAAGCTACCGCAGCAGCAGCAACAGAAGTAGCAACAACAGAAAAACCAGCAGCAAAACTAGCAGAAGCAACAGCAGCAACGCCAGCAGCAGCAAAAGCAGCACCAGCAGCAACAACAGCTGCAGCAGCAACAACAGCAGCAACACTAGCAACAACAGCAGCAGCAGCAACAGCAGCAGCAGCAGCAAACCTGAATGCCTTGCGTCTGCGTTTGTTGTCAGCAGTCTTCCACTGTACATTCCACGTGCCGTCGCTCGAATTAAAATAAATCCCTGGGGCCCTCAGCTCTTGTGCTGCAGCTGCTTGCTGCTCTCTAGCTTCTGCTGCTGCTGCTGCTGCTGCAGCAGCAGCAGCGTCCCCAGATGCTGCTGCCTCCTGCTGCTGTCGCCGCCGAGCAGCCTTTACAGGCCTCCTTGGGCTGCTGCTGCTGCTGCCGTCAGCGATACCCTTCTGCTGCAGCTCCCGCTTGTTTCCTGCTGCTGCTGCTGCTGCTACGGGTGCTGCTGCCGCTGCTGGCGTTGCAGCTGCTGCTACTGCTGGTGAGGGTGCTTCTGGTGGTGTTGCTGCCGGCGTTGCTGCAGCTGCTGCTGTTGTTGCAGTAGCAGCTGCTGTTGCTTGAGGCGAGACACCAGAAGCGAAGCGTAGAGCAGCTGCTGCCTGCTGTTGCTGCTGCTGTTGTTGTTGCTGCTGCTGCTGTCCCCGCTGCTGCTGCTGTTGCCCATCAGACGCGCTTCCTGGTGTTGCTGTTTGCTGCTGCTGCAACAGCTGCGCGTGTTGCTGTTGTTGCTGGAGGGCCAGCTGCTTCTGCTGCTGCAGCAGCTGATGCTGCTGTTGCTGCTGCTGCTGCTGCTGCTGCTGTTGCTGCTGAAGCGCGAAGTGCTGCTGCACAATTTGCTGCTGCAGGCCTGCGGCTCCGAGTCGTTGGTGGTGGTGGGGCTGGTGCTCCAGGAGTTGCTGCTGCTGCTGCTGGGACAGCAGGTGCTGCAACAGCAGCTGCTGCTGCGGGTCAAGAGCTTGCTGCTGCTGCTGCGACAGCAGATGCTGCAGCAGCAGCTGCTGCTGCGGATCAGGAGTAGCATTCTGCATAAGAAACATCTGCTGCTCGTCGCTGTAAGAAGCATAACCACAAAAGGAGGGTGAAGCATAGAGGGTAGCAGCAGCAGCAGCAGCAGCATGCTGCTGCTGCTGCTGCTGATGTTCCTGCTGCTGCTGATGTTCCTGCTGCTGCTGCTGTTGCTGCTGCTGCTGCTCTGATGCTTGAGGAGAGCTACGCGAAGCAGCGGCGTGTGTAGAGGCCTGGGGCTCCGGCTGGCCCTGCTGCTCATGCTGCTGTTGCTGTTGCTGCTGCTGCTGTTGCTGCTGCTGCTGCGACTGCTGATGCTGCGATTGCTGCTGCTGCTCTTGCTGCTGACTGTCCCCCAGAACTCCAGGAGACACAACTGCTGCAGCACACCTTTCCGGCGCTTCCTCATCCCGCTGCTGCTGCTGCTGCGATTGCTGCTGCGAGTGCTGCTGCGATTGTTGTTGCGATAGCTGCTGCTGCTGCTGCGCAGCAGCAGCAGGTGATGCACCCTGTCCGTCAGGCTCTGGCTTTTCCTCTTCGTGCTGCTGCTGCTGCAGCTGCTGCAAGTGCTGTTGCTGCAGTTGCTGCAGCTGTTGCTGTTGCCTCAGCTGCAGCTGCTGCTGCAGTTGTTGCTGCAGCTGCTGTTGTAGTTGTTGTTGCAGTTGCTGCTGCAGCTGCTGTTGCAGCTGTTGCTGCAGCTGCTGCTGCCTCTGCTCTAAATGCTGCTGCTGCTCAGGCGGCCGTGAAGTCGCTGCTGCCCAGTGGGCCTGTGCAGCGTTGTGCGCTTGCTGCTGCTGCTGCTGCTGTTGCTGCTGCTGCTTCCCCTCAGCCACGGGAGCCTTTTCGTGCGGTTGTACGTGCTGCTGCTGCTGCTGCAAGTATCCATTTGGTGTCTGCTGCTGCTGCTGCTGCTTGTCTTGGTGTATTTGAAGGGCCTGTTGTACAGCTGACTCATCACTGCGGTGCTGCAGCAGCAGCTGCTGCTGCTGTTGCTGCTGCTGTTCTGTTTCCTCGCTGCCGCAACGCAGCCTTTGTGCGCAGCGCTGGCTGGGGCCCTCTGCTGCAGCAGCATCGACAAGCTGCGCTAGATGTAGCTGCTGCTGCTGCAACTGAATGTGCTGCTGCGGCTGCTGCACCGTATCCAAGGGGGGTTCAGGCTGTTGCTGCTGCGGCTCCTCAGCAGCAGCAGCAGCAGCAGCGGCTTCCGGATGCGTGAGGGGCTCAACAGGCACCTGCTGGAACAGGATCTCTTGCTGCTGCTGCTGTTGCTGTTGCTGCTGCTGCTTTAACTGCTGCTCCAGCTGCTGCTGCTGCTTGAGCTGCTGCTTGAGCTGCTGCTGCTGCGCGAGTTGCTGCTGCTGCTTTTGCAGCAGTACTGTGTCTTGTTTATTATTATTCAGAGGAGGCACGGCTCCTGCTGTTGTTTGCTGCTGCAGCAGCAGCAGCTGCCGACTTCTTTCTTGCAGCAGCAGCGGCAGCGCATAAGGCTTCAATCCCCCACTCCAGACCTCCTCCTCCTGCTGCTGCTGCTGCTGCTGCTGCTTCTGGTTGAGGTTGCTGGTGCTGCTGCTCCTGGGGGATCGCCCTCCTGCCGCTTGTTTTTCAGCTGTTGCTGCTGCTGCAGCAGCTGCAGCAGCAGCTGCTGCTGCTGAAGCAGCAGGGCCTCCCCCTATATTCATACCCGCGCAGAGACGGAGGCTCTGATGAGTCCACAGTGCTGAGGTGTACGTACACCTGAGCTCAAGCAGCCGCTGCAGTTGGTGCTGAGCTGCTGTTGTTGCTGCAGCAAGTTCTGCTGCTGCTGTGCTATCGGCACCCGCTGCAGCAACAGCAGCAGCAGCTGTAGCAGCAGCATCTGGCTGCTGCTTCACTCGCAACAGCAGCCGCTGCAGCGGCGTGTGCTGCAGCGACGGATGGCTGCTGCTCGTGCAAGGAGTAGACGCCTCCCGAACTGCAGCAGCAAATGCAGCAGCAGCAGCAGCAGCAGAATGCTCCCCATCACTGGGCGGCTGCCACGGTATGTGCTGAGCCTCAGTATCCTTCATGCTGCTGCTGCTGCTGCTGCGAGTTGCTACCTTTCCCGAGGCCGTGCGACCCCTTGCTGCAGCAGCAGCAGTTGTTACACTTGGAGCAGCAGCAGCAGCAGCAGCAGCAACTGCTTCCAATGGGGGATCAAATCCCGCCGTATAAATGTTCTGGGGTAGCAGCGTTGCTGCTGCATCTTCTGCTGCTGCTGCTGCTGCATCTGAGAGGCCAACCCAGTCTTCACCGTCAGCAGCAGCAGCAGCTGCTGCTGCTGCTGTTGCTGCAGGGGGCCCCTCTGCAGCAAAGCGTGCAGAAGGCACAGGCTGACGCGAAGAACGACGAAGCCGCAGGCTGCTGCCGCTGCTGCTGCTGCAGCAGTCGCTGCCAGTATCCTCTCGGCTTATCACACGCTGCTGCTGCTGCTGCTGCTGCTGCTGCAAACGCCTTGCCGCACTAGGAGATTCACTGTCTGCAGCAGCCTGCGGGAGCTGGCTGCTGGTAGGATTAGACCACTGTCCTTCCTGCTGCTGCTGCTGCTGCTGCTGCTGTTGCTGCTGCTGTTGCTGCTGTTGCTGCTGCACTGGTGCAGCAGCAGCAGCAGCAGTGGAAGCCCCTGGTACTTCTTCCGCGGGTGCAGCGCCCCAGGGGTCGATGCCTTCGAGGTGCTGCTGCTGCTGCCGCGGCTGCTGCCGCCGCTGCTGCTGCTGCTGCCGCTGCTGCTGCTGCCGGCGCTTATCATTTCTCTTGCGGGGCCGCTGCGGTTGCTGCTTGCTGCTGCTGCTGCTGAGAGGCGCTTGATCCGTTGCTCCTGTAGAGACAGCAGCAACTGCTGCTGATGCTGCTGCTGCTGCTGCTGCGGCTGCCTCCGGTAAGGGTTGGCAGCCGGGAGCTACTGCGTGGAAGCCCAACTGCTGCTGTTCTTGCTGCTGCAGCAACTGCTTCTGCTGCTGTTGCTCCTTCAGCTGCTGCTGATGAAAGACTCCCGGCATATGTGCAAGCGGCCCTCCATCCTGTTGCTGCTGCTGCTGCTGCTGCAGCTGCTGCTGCTGTAGCTGCTGCTGCTGCTGCATCCACATCATTTGCTGCTGCAGCAGAAGCAGCTCCTGCTGCTGCTCCGTGAAGCCAGCGTTGCCTCTAGAAGTTTGAGAGGTCGCCGTCAAAAGCTGCTGGTCTGCCTGCAGGAAGGGCTGCTGCTGCAGCAGCAACTGCTGCTGCTGCTGCTGCTGCTGCTGCTGCACCGGCTGCAGCGGCGGCGGTGCGCCCTGCTGTGGGAAGCCATGCATTTGCTGCAGCAAGGCCGCCTCAGGGTGCTGCGGGTTCTGCTGCAGCAGCAGCAGCAGTTGCTGCTGCTGATTCTGTTCCTGCATGCTGTTGTTGCTGTTACTACTGTTGTTATTGCTGCTGCTGCTGCTGTGCTGCTCCTTTCCTAGAGGCTGCAGCAGCATCAGTCAGCCGCCCGCCTTATACAACGCCGCTGCTGCTAAGTATCTGTATTGGCGGCATCGCTGCTGTTGTTGTTGCTGCTGCTGCTGTTGTTGCTGTTGTTACTGCAGTTGCTGCTGCTGCCGCAGCGGCAGTACAACTCTGTTTGCTGCTGCTGCTGCTGCTGGTGCTGCAGCGGGGGGCCCCGAGGCGTGTCTTTTGGGGACCCAGCAGCAGCAGCAGCAGCAGCAGCAGCACCTGAATGTTTCTCTTTGCTCGCGGCAATGCAGCAGCAAAACTACCAAGCAGCCGTTGCTGCAGCAACACTTCTAGTGTGAGGGGCTTAAGTGTTTACTATTTCAGCTAACAGCGACGAACAGCTGCTGCTGCTGCTGCTGCTGCTGCTGCTGCAGCAGCCCCGCCCAGTGTACGTAGACGTGAAGGCGCGCAGCAGCTGCAGCAGCAGCAACAGCAGCAACAGCAGTAGCACCAACTTTGCATAAGGGGCTTATTATATAAACATTTGCTTAATAATTCTTTTTTAATTAATTAGGCGTCGTCTGATGCAGCAGTAAAACCACACACCTCTTTTTCTTCTGCAGCAACAGCAGCAACAGCAGCAGCAGCAGCACCTGCTGCTGCTGCTGCTGCTGCTGCTGCTGCTGCGGAGGCCCGTGCAAGTGTGGGGCCCGGTGTTTGTGCAGAAGAAGTATTTCCTTGTTTGTCTTGAGGAATTTTTGTTTTATTTTAATTAATTAGCAGCAAAAGATTGCTGCAGCAGCTGCAGCAGCAGCACCAACTCGCTGAAACCTCCAGACACCGCGATCGAGCCTTCTCTTTAGACGAGCAGCAGCAGCAGCAGCAACAACAGCAACAACAGCAGCAGCAGCAGAAGCAGCATCAGGAGGAGCAACAGCACCAGCAGCACCAGCAGCAGCAGGAAGTCCTGCAGCAGTGTAGCAGCAGCAGCGCAGCATCGCTACCTCAATAGCGGGGCAGCACAAGCCCACTACCTAAACCCTAAACCCTAAACCCTAAACCCTAAAATGGGGGCTACGAAGAAGCTGACGGAGAGCGAAATGCTCGCTGAGAAGCTCCTCCAGGGGTGGACGATGCTGGGCGAGAACTGCCCCTACGTGAGCCTAAACCCTAAACCCTAATTCATAAACCCTAAACCCTAATTCATAAACCCTAAACCCTAATCCGTAGACTCCAAGCCTCAAACCCTAAACCGTAAACCCTCGATCAGTTAAGGGGCTTCCAAAGGCGCAGCGGCAGCCGGTGCTGTCGATTGCTGCTTGCAGCAGCCTTAACATCAGTAGCAGCAGCAGCAGCAGTAGGAGCGTGAGGTGTACATACACCTCAGTTTGTATACAGTGAGGGTCTGCTAGTGCTGGGGTTTGCGGTGTATGTACAGTGTAATCGGGTGCCGCTGATGAGACAGAGACAGGGAGGAGACTGGTGTGTAGCATGCAGCACCTTCGCTCCCTCTAGCCCCGAGCAGCAGAAGCAGCAGCAGCAGCAGCAGCAGCAGCAACAGCAACAGCAGCAAAAGGGGCAGCAGCAGAAGGAGGAGGATGAAACAGATGACAGCAGCAGCGAGAAGTCGCCCAAGGTAGAACCAGCAACAGGTACTACCCATTTATATTTGTTTCCTGCTGCTGCTGTTGCTGCTGCTGCTGCTGCTCTAGGACTTACCCTGCTCCCTCTGTTGTTGTTGCTGTTGCTGTTGCTGCTGGATTCAGTTTCTTTTCCCTCCTTGTCTGTCCGTGACTGCTTAGAACTGCCGCTGTCGCTGCTGCTGCTTATCCCGTTGCTGCTGCTGCTGCTGCTGCTGCTGCTGTTGCAGCCTTTGAGCTGAGGGGCTCCTTTGGACTTCAGGCGTCAGAGGAAGAGAAATTAGCTGCATGCAGCGCAGCACTAAAGAGGGAAGGTGCAGCAGCAGCAGAAGCGCTGAAGCAGCAGCTGCAGCAGCAGCAGCAGCTGCAGCTGCAGCAGCTGCAGCAAATGCAAGATGCCAGCCCACTAACCACAGCTGCCTCCAGCTGCTGCACGGTGAGACCTATACTTGGGTTCAGGTTTTAAGGTCTAGGGTTTAGGGTTTAGGGTTTAGGGTTTAGGGTTTAGGCAGTGTTTCGGTGCTGCAGCCTTCGGAGGAGTTGGTTAACTGGGGGAAGAAAGTTATCAGCAACTTACGCCAGCCAGAGCAGCAGCATCAGCAGCAGCAAACCAAGCAGCAGCAGCAGCAGCAGCAGCAGCAGCAGCAAGCCAAGCAGCAGCGGAAGGAGGCGCAGGATAGGCGAGAGTTGCTGCATCACTCGAAGGCCCTCCTCCTCCAACGAATTCACAGGTCCGTCGAGCTAGCCAGCTAGCTAGCCAGCTAGCTAGCTAGCTAATTAGTTAGGTAGCTAGCTAATTAGTTAGGTAGCTATCTAGATAGCTAGCTAGCTAGCTAGATGGTTAGCTAGCTAGATGACTAGCTATCTGTGTGTGGGTAGCTAGCTGTATGTTTGTAGCTAGCTAGGTAGCTAGCTAGCTAGCTAGCCGCATACAGTTGATGCGCCTTGCCTGTGCTTCCTCAGATACAACAAACTGCTGCAACCGGAAACAGAGTCCTTGGAAGGGTTCGTTGCTATTGCTGCTGCTGCCGTTGCTGCTGCTGTTGCTGCTGCTGTTGCTGCTGCCGTTGCTGCTGCTGCTGTTGCTGATTAGAACCCTTAGCCCTTCCCCACAAACCCGAAACCCGCGACTTTAAACCCTAGCCCCTCAGTCATCTACCCTCATGAGCGCCATTAGGGTTCAGGGTTTAGGGTTTAGGGTTCGACGCTGAAGAGGTTTGTTTTCGGTGCTGCTGCTGCTGCTGCTGCTGCTGCTGCAGGGACCGGCAGGTACTGGTAGCACTGAAGGAGGCTTTTGAGGCTCTGAAGCTGCTGGACACTATCGCACATTAGCAATAGCAACAGCAGCAGCAACAGCTGCAGCAGCAACAACAGCAGCAACAACAGCAGCAGTAGCAACACCTGCAGCAGCAACACCAGCAGCAGCTGCTGCAGCAGCAAGCGCATGCATTCTGACGTGGGAGTATTTGGGAGTCTTTGTTGCTTGCTGCTGCTACTGTTTGCTGCTGCTGCTGCTTTGTTTGCTGCTGCTGCTTTGTTTGTTTCTTTTAATACTTTGGGGTTTGCGCCGTACATTTATGAATGCAGTTTCCTCCCTCATCAACCGACACGCAACTAGCCACCTGCATGCAGCTAGCTGCCTACTAGCTAGCTAGCTAGCTAGTTAGCTACATACAGCTAGCTAGCTACCTAACTACCTGCCTACATAACTAGCTAGCTACATAAAGCTAGCTAGCTACCTGCCTACCTACCTTCCTAGCTAGGTACTTACCAACCTGGGTAGCTAGCTGCATGCAGCTAGCTAGCTAGCCACATACAGCTAGCTAGCTAGCTAGCTAGAGTGGTGAGAGAGAGAAAGAGCAAGCGCTATATGCAATTAAACATCAGCAGAAAATGCAATCCCCTCCTGAGTCGCCAATATGCAAAAAAACTGCTGCTGCAGACAGCTGCAACTGCTGCTGCTGCTGCTGCTAATGCTAATGCTGCAGACAGATGCAAAGGCTGCTGCTGCGGAATGGCGCGGCTGCTGCTGGAGCTGCTGCTGCTACAACTGCAGCAAGGACTGCCTCTCTGAATCTGCTGCAGCAGCAGCAGCTACTGCGGCTGACCCAGCTGCTGCTGCTGCAGCATAATGGTGCTGCTTCCGCAGTTGGCGCTGCTGCGTTTTAGATATTGCTGTTGCTGCTTATGCGTACACCGTGATAAACACGACAGCAGCAGCAGCGGCTGCAGCAGTAGCAGCAGCAGCAGCAGCAGCAGGTGCTGCAGCCGCATTCATCTTGTGATTAGCGGGGTTGCACATCGGCACAACATTTTGCGATGATAAATCTACTTGGTTTCGACAAGAGACGTAAGAAACCTGAAGAAGAAAGAGAGCAGAATTAATGTATATCAATAATATCAATGCTTATATGCACTTCCTATTAATAGGTAAATGCAAATACATGAATATTAAAAAGCTTCCTTTTTAATGATCTTAGCTGCCTATACACCTCAAATTACATCTTTATTATTATATAGTGCATGCAAACGACTAGACGCCTATCTTTTTTTTTGATGCTTTTAGATGCCTATACACCTGAAATTACCTCTTCACTCCTGTATATTGCATGCGAATGACTAAAAATGTATATTTTTTGATGATATTAGCTGCCTATACACACCTGAAATTACCTCTTTATTTTTATAAAGTGCATGAAAAGTGTATCGTTTCTGATGTTTTAAGCTGCGTATACACCTGAAATTACCTCTTTATTAAGCCACTGCTGATACTGTCCCTCATCGCATACACAAGCCCAAGGATAATCATTATCTGAAGGATACATGAAATTAAAGTAAGACCCCTGATTGCCTCCTTCGAAGTTTTCAGCATTGCCTGTGCCTGCACCGCCAAACAAAGTGTCCCAGATACTACCAATAACACCCCTCAGCTGCAGCATAGATGAATCTGCTGCTTCTGCTGCTTCTGCTGCTGCTCCTGCTTCTGCTTCTTTTGCTGCTTCTGCTGCTGGTGATGATGCTGAGGTCTCTGATGCTTTATTCTCCACCATATCCTCCTCTTCTTCCTTGCCTTCCTTCGTCAAACTGCTGCTGCTGCTGCTGCTGCTGCTGTCGGTGCTGTCAATCGCAATGCCGTCGTCAATTGGACTGCTGCTGCTGCCGTTGCTGCCGCTGCTGTTGCCGCTGCTGCTGCTGCTGCTGCTGCTGGGGGTTGCTTCAGATGAGGATATGTCTGGGTTATGTTTCTTTGTTTGTTTGTCTTCATCTTTTTCATCTTCTTTGATTTTTTGTGCTTTTTCTTCTTTTTGTTTTTCTTCAGTCTGAGGCCGCTTAAACTTCCCAATGGAGGGGCCCCCTAAACAAAACAGAAAAATAAATTAAATTAATTAAATTAAATAAATAAATAATAAAATAAAGTAATATAATTAAAAAGTACAGCAAGAAAAAGAGATAAAAGCATAGAAGAAAATAATAAAACAAAATAAACAAAAATAATAAAACGCAGCAAGCAAACAGTAAAACAAATAATACATCATCAACGCACACATAAATATATATATTATATTATTTATACTATATATATACTACATATATATAATATGTATATATATAATATATATATATATATATGCATATATATATATATATATATATATATATGTATACATGTGTATGTACTTCTCTGTTTAGAGATAATCTCTGTGTAATATTTGGTATGTGTATTTACATAAATAGATGCATAAACTGATAATTATAAATAAAATAAATAAATATATGTATGTATATATATACGCGTGTATATATATGTATATATATTTATTTATATGCATATGTATGAATATATATGTACATAAATGTCTATATTTATTGATTTGCATATATACATGCATATATATATATATATATATATTTGTGCTTATGCCGCCGCTGCTGCATCTGCTTGTGCAACAGAAGTTCCTGCTGATGCAGCAGCAGCAGCAGCAGCAGCCACAGCCACAGCTGGTGCTGCTGCTGTTGTTGTTGCTTACGAACTGCAGCAGCCGCTTCCTTTGCTTCTTCCCTCGCCTTTGTGCATATTTCGCTGGTTTGATCTTCCTGACAAACTTGAAATGCATGTCTTGCTTTACTTGCTGCGTCTACGAACTGCTGCTGCTGCTGCTGCTGCTGCTTCAGCTTAGCTAGGGCCCCCAGTGAGGCCCCCCTTTGTTGCAGCGCATCCGTTGGCTGCCAGTGCTCCTTTGCTGCTGTTTCTAGGAGCTCTTCAACAGACAATATTTGCTGCTTCTCTACTATTTGATGTGTATGTACAGCTGAAATAGACAGAGGATCTTCAGGTAGTAGGGGGGCCCCTGAGGAGGGGCCCCCAGCTCTATTATTTTTGTGTAAATCAAGAGAAGAAGAAACTGCAAAGAATAATCACAAACAAATATAAATATAACAAACTCTATAAACCTACCTCGTACTGCTGCTGCCGCTGCTTCTGCTGCTGCTGCTGCTGCTGTTGCTGCTGCGGTCAAGTGGCTAGCCCGTCGATGCTCTGGCTTTGGGGTGTACAGACAGATGAAACTTGCAGCAGCAGCAGAATAGCTAACTCTCTACATGCAGCAACTGCATCTAAAGCAAACAAGAGAGGACAAGGAGTCCCCATCGACCGACTCGTGCTGCTGCTGCTGCTGCTGCTGCTGCTGCTGCTGGGGCCGGGCTTGTTGCTGCTGCTGCTGCAACTCACATGTTATGCAGAGATGAAGCAGCAGCAAAGGCAACCAACACTTTTGTTGCTGCAGCAATCCCCTTTTTGCTGCTGAGGCCATTGCCGTCAATTCGCGTGACTGCACGCTCCAGAGCTGCTCATCGTGGCTGCTGCTGCTGCTGTTGCTGCTGCTGCTGCTGCTGCTGCTGCTGCTGTTATTGCAATTAAGACCCTCAATGAAAAGGAAGGAGTCAAAAATTAGAAAAAATGTTGAAAATTTAGTGCGAAGACGCATGCTTGCTGCTGCTGCCCCAGAAGCAGCAGCAGCAGCAACAGCAGCAGCTGCTGCTGCTGCTCTATTGGCAGCCCTCTGCAGCAGCGGCAGCAGCAGCAGCAGTAGCAGCAACAGCATATCGCTGCGGATGAATTTGTTATTTTTTTCATCTTTTTACTCTAATATACGAATTGTTTTAAGTGTATTTGAAGCAAGAGATAAACAAACTCTTGTGTACTTGCAGCAGCAGCAGCAGCAGCAGCAGCACAATGACTTGCATCGAAGCTGTCCCAGGGAAGACGAGGATCGGTGGGTTTCTCTCTCCATCTTTGTTGCCTCATCTGAGGTGTACGTACACCTCAAGACTTACAAACTCCCTCCGCTACCCTACATCTCAAGACATGAGGGTTTAGGGTTTAGGGTTTAGGGTTTAGGGCTTGTGGGTTCAGGGTGGATCGGCACGGGTGTAATGGGCCGATCGATGTGTGAAAATATTTTAAAGAAGGGGTTTCATCTGACTGTTTACAAGTAAGTAGCTTGCTGCTGTTGTTTCTGCTGCTGCTGCTGCTGCAGCTGCAGCTGCCGTCGCTGCTGCTTGTGTTGCTCTCGGGGCTGCTGCTGCTGCTGCTGCTGTTGCTGTTGCTGTTGCTGCATTTGTTGCAGCAACTTCCCGGCAGCTGCAGGCCTAGAACACCTTCACTGTCTTCATTGGCGCAGCAGCACAGAACCAGCAGCTGCAGCAGCGGCAGCAGCAGACCCTGCGGCATCACCAACCGCAGCAACAACCTTGCAGCAGCAGCAACAGCAGCAGTGCCTGCAGCAGCAGCAACAGCGGCAGGAACTGCAGTATTTCCAGCAGCAGCAGCAACATCTGTAGCAGCAACAGCTGCATAATCATTAACAGCAGCATCATCAACAGCAACAACAACCTCTGAGCAGCAGCAGCATCATCAGCAACAGCAACAGCATCTGCAGCAGCAACACTACCACCACCAGCATCCGCAGCAGCAGCAGCACCAGCAGCAGGCGGGTCTTGTTGGGGTCTTGTTTGTGTCTGCAGCCGCACAATCAGCAAAGCCCTGCCGCTGCAGCAGCAAGGAGCAGTTGTTGCTGCATCAGCAGCAGAAGCTGCAGCAAACTGCGACGTCCTCTGTCTTATGGTCGGCACTCCAGAAGATATCCAGCAGCTTATCTGTACGTACACCCCAAAACCCTAAACCCTAAACCCTTTTTCTAGGTGCATGAATGCTGCAGCACCCTCACCACCAGGCAGCAGAAGCTGCAACAGCACCTGCAACAGCAGCTGCAGCACCAGCTACAGCAGCAACTGCAGCAGCACGTGCAGCAGCACCTGCAGCAGCACCTGCATCAGGAGCCACAGCAGCACCTGCAGCAGGAGCTACAGCAGCAGCTACAGGAGCACGTGCAGCAGCAGGAGCTACAGCAGCATCTACAGCAGCACCTGCAACAGCAGGAGCTACAGCAGCAGCTGCAGCTCATCTGGTACTTTTTGTTTTTGTTTCTTTTTGATGTTTGTTTGTTCGTTTGTTTGTTTGTTTGTTTGTTTGTTTTTATTAATTTTCTGTTGTTTGCTTCTGTCTCTGTTTTGCGTCATGTTTTTATTTTATTTAATTTATGAATTTGTTCGTGTGCATTATTTACTTTTTGTTTTATATATAATTATATATATATATATATATTGTTTATTAATTTTTAATGTCTTGCGTTTTTGTTTAGTTGGTGCTGGGGGTTTATCTTCTGCACTGAGCGCCGGCTGTTATTTGGTAGACTTCACAACATCTTCTGCTTCGCTAGCTGAGGAGGTGTATATACACCTCAAAGCAAAGGGGGTTTATGCATTAGATGCGCCCGTAACTGGAGGCACGCAAATCCTAAACCCTAAACCCTAAACCCTAAACCCTGAATGTCCCGTAGATAGGCCAGTTCGTGTTGTGGGGAAACGGCAAGCTGGGGGATCTCTAGGAAACTCGAGCGTCATGGTTTAGGGTTTAGGGTTTAGGGTTTAGGGTTTGTGTGGCAGGAGATGTGGGGGCTAAGACAGGGAAGCTAACAGTAATGACTGGAGGAGACGCCGAAGCATTCAATAACCTTCAGCCTCTTTTTAAAGCTGTTGCAACCAATATCATTCACGCGGGACCTGCAGGATCAGGCAAGGGTTTAGGGTTTAGGGTTTAGGGTTTAGGGTTAGCGAATAGGGTTTAGGGTTTAGGGTTTAGGCGGCTTCAGCACTAAGGGCCAGCGGGTGAGACTCGCGCCCAGTGCATCGACCCTGGAGTTCAAAATTGGCTTCAGAATTTTCGGGTTTAGGGTTTGGGGATCGGGGTTTAGGGTTTAGGGTTTAGGGTTTGTTATGTGCAGGCCAGCGGATGAAGCTCTGCAACCAAATTACCCTCTGTACGAACCTCATAGGCCTGGCGGAAGGTTAGTGTTTTGTGTGTTATAGCTCAAACCCTAAACCCCAAACCCTAAACCCTAAACCCTATGCCCTAATCGGGCAACTGGAAGCGCAAGGGTTTAGGGTTTAGGGTTTGCGTTTCAGGGCTTCTCTTCGCTGAACGCGCTGGACTAGACATTGAAAAAACCCTCGCTGTTCTTTCTGGGGGAGGAGCCTCCAGCTGGTGAGGCCCACTGAACAGCAGCAGCAGCAGCAACAGCAACAGTAGCAGCAGCAGCAGCAGTTGCTGCTGCTGTTGTTGTTGCTGTGCAGGTGCAATGCCAACGGAACTGGTAGTGAGACGGCAGCACGAGCGTGTTTACCTGGTTAGGGTTTAGGGTTTAGGGTTTTGCTAGTCTGCTGCGTTAGTATTTATTTCTGCTCAGCCTCCTCAAGCAGCATGTGCAGTATTCTCCATATCGATAGAGTCCAGGCTTGGGCGCATTTAGGGTTTAGGGTTTAGCGTTTAGAATGTAGGGTTTAGGGTTTACGGTTTAGGGTTTGTGGTTTAGGTCGGTGACTACCTACGGGCCCCGCATCCGCGACGGAGACTTCCGCCCAGGGTTTTTCGTCCATCATTTGGTGAAAGATTTGCGTTTAGCTTTGAATGAAGCGGCTCGATTGAAGTTGTCTCTGCCAGGTCCTAAACCCTAAACCCTAAACCCTAAACCCTAAGTCCTTTCCTTGCTGCAGCAGCACTTAGGCACCTCTGTCCCTCCTCCCTTTGTGCGCTTCTCAACGCCCTCTCGCCCTCTTCCGCTGTGCTTTACTTATCGTCAGGGCTTAGGGTTTATGGTTTAGGGTTTAGGGTTTGTGCTGGGCTTAGGTTTGGGGCTGGCCCTGCAGCTGTACCAGGCGCTAGAGGCTCAGGGGGGAGGGGCCCTTGGGGTGCATGCATTGAAGGCTAGTTTAAGCATTATAAACAAACAAAACAAATCTATTCAGGATCTCGTAAGCCAGCAGCAGTAAAGCGGTTTGCTGCTGCAGCAGCAGCAGCAGCTGCTGCTGCAGGTGCAGGTTGAGCCCTTGATGGTCTTGCTGCACCTCCTCCACTCGATTAGCACTGCAGCTTTTGCTGCTGCTGCAGCTGCCGCAGCGTTTGCTGCAGCTGCTGCAGCGTTTGGTGCTGCTGCAGGTTTTGCTGCTGCCGCACTAGCTTGCTTGTTGTCATGCTGCTTGCAAGGGTAGCAGCAGCCGCAGCACAGACTTCAATGTTTTTTTTCTTGTTGCTGCATGCAGCACGGTACCTAAACTTATAAACATTTTTAGGGTTTAGAACAACGGATTCTTAGTAATATGCATTTGTTGTTTGTTTCCCGTCTATAACTAGATTTGCTTGTTCCTCTTTCCTGTCGTTGCTTATATACAAATATACATATATATATATATATCCATATATATATATATGCATGGATTGAGAGATGGAGATATATACATATATATATATATATGCATGCATAGGTGTATCTTTCAATGCGTGCACAAGCAGTGGTTTTAATTCTTTGCCACGCGCACACCCAGCCAAACAAATTCAAAAAACCACACCTCCATCTCAGCCTCATTCTGCATGCGTTTATTAACGGTGTTAAAGTTAAAATAAGAAAGATATATCTGCTATAAATCGTTTGAAAGAAGGCACCAGCAATACACAGACAAAAAAACAAGAGCAGCGGAGTAAAGGAATATATAATGATGCTATTAATATGCTGCTGTTGCTGATTCTATTTATTTGCTGCTGCTGCTGCTGCTGGGATACAAACAACTGGTAAACTTAATACCATTATGCAAAAATCACGGGCTTTAAAGGCTGCATATTAAACCCTAAACCATAAACCCTACGAAACCCTAAACCGTAAACCCTCAGGAAACCCCGGGGGTGTAGTTTGGCAGTCTGTCTTACATGGGGGCTTTTTAATTGAACCCTAAATGAAATAAAAACAATATATTTATTATTAATAAATTACAAATGCATTTAAAGAAAGAAATATATCATTGAAATGCAGCGGCCCACACAGCCACCCCTGCCATGCATGCATGCAGCAGGGGAGAGAGTGCAGCGTATAGGGGAGAAGAAAATTCTTATTGGGGCTGTTGAGGTGTCTATGCTTGAGTTTTCGAACGTTTCATTGTTTGCATTTCTTTCTTCTTCTTCTTAAACCCTAAACCCTAAACCCTAAACCCTCCTCACACCCTCTGCAAGATGGCAGACAAAGAGCCCTGCGCTGCTGCTGCAGCACAGAACAACGAAGAAGACGACGCAGCAAACCTTGAACAAGAAGTAACAGAGGGAAACTGGACGCGCCCAGAGGTACTCTAAACCCTAAACCCTAAACCCTAAACCCTTATTTTTATATTACCCCACCCATGCCCAGAGCCACCCCTTCATCCCCTCTGTTGTCTGCAACCTTTCTCCCTTGGGGGCCCCATCTAGGGGCCCCCTAATACCCGTTTACATCTCCTAAGGGGAAGGCGACTGCCGCTTAGCCTCTCCCACTCCATGCAGTTGATGTGCTGCTGCAGCGTCAGTGCCAGTACAAAGGCTTCAATGCATGCATACATGATGTGAATTTATGCATGCATTCATGCATGCATGCATGCATTCATGCGACCGTATATCTGTTTGTGTCTGTACCTGTGTTTGCGTTTATACATATATATTCCCCTTTTCTGCTGCTGATATCTGCTTCTAATTTCTGCTGTTTTCTACTTGCTGCCGCAGCAGCAGCGGGAGTTGAGGTCTTGCATCTACAGTGGCTGCTCTTTGTTTTTTTAGCTTTTATTTTAATGCGCAATGCAATATGATTGTTATTTACATTTTCTTGTACATACGAGCAGAGGGGCTTGTAGAATAAGGCAATAGTGCATCTCTAGTGTAGATGAGGGGTTGCAGCCTTTGTTCAGGTGTACGTACACCTGACGCGCAAAACAGATTTATATGTTATTTCTAGATACGATGCGCTCATTTGTTTATTGCAACTCCTCAGCGTTTTCCGTGCATGCAGATTTGTTAGTGGGCATAATACATAAATCAGTGTATCAACCGTATATATATGCATATATATATATATATGCATATGTATATTCTGTTTATATGTACATATATAAAGATATATATCTTATGTATGCGTAGTATATGATGCGCATATATGAATGTGCTATATTATATATATGTATAGTTTATATGTATGCTGCATATGTATGTTTCCGCGTTTCTACACAGGCTTGATGCGTTCGAATGTATGTACTTTGTCCAGCGAAACATTTGCCTGCATGCGTAATAACGAAATTGATTATTTATGTTGTATGCTCACTTACTGTGTTCTGCGTGCGCCTTTAGGTTGAGGTGCATGAGGTAAAGGTTGAGACAGGAGAAGAGAATGAGGATACCTTTTGGAAGTGCCGCTCCAAGTTGTACAGGTGGGCTGCAGGCAGCGAGTGGAAAGAGAGAGGCCTGGGGGAGGCTAAGCTGCTGCAGCACAAGGAGACAAAGAAAATACGCTTCCTCTTAAGACAGGAGAAGACACTCAAAATCGTCGCAAACCACTACGGTGCGCACGCACGCATCCATGCATGCTTGCTGCTTCCTGCATGCATGCATGCATGCATGTATGCATGCATGTGGAAAGCAGCAGGTTTCACTGAAGCAGCAGAGTAGCCTCAACTCATGATGCGGGCAGCAGTGCTGTTTGTAATATGCCCCCGCTGGTAGTTGAAGCTGCGTGAAACGGCATGCAGCTGTGCGGGTTGTTTTCGCTGATGTGTTTGGTGTCCGTACCGGAGCAGCGGATCTGCATGCCCGTGCATGTGTTCGTCTTGTTCATTTGCGTTGTTTTTCTGCAGTTGTGGCTACGGACGTTTACTGCAAATTGACTCCCAATGTCAGTTCAGAGAAGATTTGGGTCTGGACAGTCATGGACTTCGCGGAAGGGGAGTTGAAAAACGAACAATTTGCACTGAAGTTCGGCCAGATTGAACGTAAGCTGAGGTTTAATATAGAAGAATGCGGTTTAAAAGGCAAAACGAACAACAATGCCGCATATCTCTTACAATTTTAGATGCGAAAGAGCTGAAACACAAAACGTGCACGCGGGTTACCGCTCAGGTGTACGTACACCTGCGAACACGCGCACATGTAGAAATTGCTCATGTACAAAATGTTTTTGCAGAGGCCAAGGAGTTTAAAGAGAAGTTTGAGGAGGCGGCGGCGATCAATTCGAAATTGTTTGGCATTGGGGAGGGAGGAAGCAAGGCAAAAGAGGGGGAGAAAGCTGAAACAAAAGAACAGAAAGAAGACAGCGACAAAACGGAAAAGAAGTCAGACGAAACCAGCACAGCAACCAAGACAACGGAAGCCACTAAGGCAGAAACAGCTGAGAAGGAATCCAAACAGACGGAAAAGGCCTGAGTTCACGGCAGCCCATCTGACTACTTTTTGCACATTTGGTGTGCTGATTACATTATGTGAAGTAACCAAGCATCTATGTATATAATATATATTATATATTATCCATATGGATGCACTCGTCGTAGTACTACTGTACCGATTAATAGAGAACTCCGCGGAGGGAGGGTTGAAAGGCTTCTTCTCGTCTCTCTCTGTTCACAGCATGCGCTGTGATTGACCCTAAGAAGTAAAAACGGGAGAAGTACTAAATGGGGTTCTTCTGAGGGACAGAAGGGGGCTTGGGGTTTGCAGGAGGAAACTGACAGGGGGTAGCGACGGCAGAAGCCCGAGGTGGGGCTGTCTGTTGTTGTTAGGCTTCCTCGTCAGTTGTGTTGTTCTGTTGTGCAATATCTATGAACCGCCATTTGCTAGAAATGATACTTCAAAACAAACACACGATCTCTTTCACTCTTCACTGCATCCACCATGTAGCATTCTCTTAAGTTCGCAGCTGTTTCCTTCAGCTTAAGCACCCATATAGTTGTCACTACCTTCAAATTTTATTCATTTGCAAAGACGAGAGACGTACACCAGTTATACTGCGCACTATACTCTATTAGTTTTTCATTTAATAGAGACATTACAACATGCAGTAAGAATTTCAAGTATGTCGAGTATTTCACATAATTATGTGAAGCACAAATATATCTATAATATATATATATATATATATAGGGACACTTAAGCTGTACCGCTTTCTGACTTACGTGGCAGCCCAGCAGATCCAAGCTGAGTTTGCTGATAGCAAGGAGGCAAAACACTCTTTCGTCCCTGTATTTAAGATTATTATTCTAAGCATATTCAATACAAACGGCTCTAAGCCCAACCATAAACTTCGCCAAAGTATGAACTGTTTTATTATTATATTGGTCATGCTTTATTATTTGAGGAACGTCATATCTTGGGCTCTCTGTGCATAGAGAAATACGAGTGGTGTTTGTCTGCTTTCTTGTCCCAGCAAATGCGTGTACCCTTTTCTAGCGTGTAGATCCACACTTTTAAAGAAATCAGTTCTCTCGGAGTATTCCAATTTCTTAGATTATTCATTCGTTATGTTTCTCGTGCTCGTTGTTTGGGTGCCGCCTGCTCTCCAAGACATCTCTTTGCCTTTTCATAATGCATATTGAGGGCGACGAGAACTGTCTTTGGTTGCTAGTTGATGCATGCATTGAGTTCAAGCGAAAATTCATATTTTCTAACGCCTTCTCATGTGAGATGCCTTGTACTAGCGGCAAAACCAGACAGTAGTGCACTAAGCAGGCTCTCGAGGTTATGTATAGGGGATATTAACATTTCCCTTTAATTTTCCCCTTGTCTCTCTTTTCCTTCCTTTGCAGGGAAGGCTGACATTCAGAGAGATATTCATGAGGTGCACCTTTGCAGCCGGGTTACTTAGAGTGAGATTCTCTAAGGCGCATATGGTGCTAGCAGGACCCGCATTTTGATTGGTGCGGAGCAACAAAGTGTCAATAAGAAGGCCTATAAACTTGAAAATAAAAATCAATTGCAACTCAAATGGTGGTATTGTGATTAAAATTGTCGACATAGCACTTGAACCTCCTAAGTTTCTCCGTGCGATCCGGGCAAGTTCAAGGGGTGCACGCCGAAGGTCTTCCGTTTGCTATGAGCCAACAGGAGCAGTTACACGACAACTGAAGCTGAAAAAATCATTTTTTCCTGGATAAATTGGGGGGATTTAGAAGAATCTTTGCTTAGTGGGGAGGAAGCATGAATAGACGAGTTTTGCACAGTATCCTCTGAGTAGCCGGCGTAGGTGGTAGCGAACAGGTGTTGCACTGCGTGACGCTGCCTCTTAACACAGCCCAAAAGGAGTAAATCTCGCTCGTTGTTAAATTAAAACAAAAACTTAACTGCTACTTTCTAAAGAAGGCTTGGATTTCGGAAGTTTTTGATGCGTCCTCCTTGTGAACCCCGTCTCGGCTGAGGCTCCAGTTGCAAATGCACTATATAAGCTTCTTCCCCTCTTGAGCACCGAAATCTCAGGTTTCCTTCTTAACCTTCAGTGCCCTTTGAAATTCCTATTTTGCTTTTGGGAAATCGCCAGCCCTGGCTTCGAGGGCTAAGGCAGTCAGCCTTTAACAACACTTGTGGGAAGCAATTATCGTTGCTTCATTCCATTAAAGGGCGGTTGATCATCGCTAAAAACCACGGCGGTGATTCCTTGTATTTTATTGCTGAGATGTGCGCCAGAGTAGCTAGCTTTTCTCAATGCAGCACTTGCCAATGTTCATTTCATTCCTGTTAGGTCGATGAAGACGTCCTCCTCCCTCTATGCAAAACCTTCGAAACGTTCCCCCTTCTTCACAAGTTTAGTTCTAACTTGGGAGTTGAGGCTCTTTGTGTGAGGTCCTATCGCTCTATAGTGTATTTCATCTTCTATCATGCATTGATTTGGTGCAGTTGGACATCTTCCAGCCTCACGCACCGCCTTCACTTCCGTTAAGCCTAGAAGACAGGAGAAATTGCAAGGAAATTTCCCCTACAGTCCTTTAATTTTCCCTTGATTTCTCTGTATAGGCTGTTACTGCTTAAGCGATGCCCCTTCACTATATGCCACCGGAACGCATAGACAGATCCAAGGCTGCTGAGGTCGTCCTGCAATTAGTTACTCTCGAGCGTGTCATTCACCAACGCATCTTCAGGCCCAACCAATAAGAGCAGGGGGTGACACAGCAGTTAAGCCCAGAAGGGCTTCCATAGGTTCCGCACTAGTAATGAATGACCATTGCTCATAATTGTAAGAAGTAAAAGTTTCAGTTGACGATGCTACTTCGGGTGGAGCAGTCAATACGCCAAGCTATATGATGCATTATATGCAAGCGAAACGCTTGGCACGAGATCTACATAAGTTGCCCGGGAGTTGGCTGGGCAGTTGCTGAGAAGATTTGAGGCGGAGACCCTTGAGTCTGCCTCTTTGAGTGTTTCCACTATATATATATATATATATATATAT